ACCCTCATTGTAGGAGGGTAGGGACAGAGGATGGCAGTTGGGTATGTGGATTTATGCTACTTTGATATGGCAACTTGATAGTATTATCCGTATTTTATTTATTTTTTTAGAGGAAAGAGAGCTACTCTCTTTTTCTTTTAAATAGTATTTTATTTTTTCAAATTATGTGTAATCTATATTTTAAATGGCCATGGTTTCCTTTTATATAAAGAGCAAATAATGACATCAATCATATGCACATTTATTCATGATTTCTTACAGTAGGATATAAGCTGCTTGAAGGAGGTGATTTTTTCCCTTTGTATCCTCAGAGTATAGCACAGTTCCCCAAATACAGCAGGTCCTAACCAAGTGTATTGAACTCTTGAAAGCTTGTTTAGTTTGGTGTCCTTTTGACTGCTACCTCTACATGTCACATTCTGGTGAAACAAGAAGTCTGCTCATATCAAGTGTTGTCTTACACTCCTCAAGGGTCAAGACTATTTGACTTGCTTTACCTGGAAATCAGCAAAGCCACGAATGCAGTGACTATTCAATACAATTGGTTGACAATGACACGAGCCCATGGCTGCTGCCAGTTGTCTTGACCTTTGTCTTGCCGCTGGACTTTGATGACTCTGGAGGAGAGCTTGAGGCTGACGACTTTGTGATACTCTGTCCCACTTACCTCCAAGTCATGCACAAGTCAAGACGTTGCCCTCGTGATGTAATCGGTCCTCTTCCAGAATGAAGAATGAACAAAGCCAACAACTGGCAGTGTAGAGAGAGCCTTAAGAACCCTGGAAGCTGGGAAAGCCAGCTCGCATGGAAGGAATACAGTCAGCTGGAAAGGACCTGTCAAGGCCAATCCCTTAATCTCTCAGCCTCAGTTTTCTCATCTGTAAAATGAGGAATTTGGATTACACAGACTCCAAGGTCACTTCCAGTTCCAGATCTGCGATCTCATGAGCCTATGACAAGGGCACAATGTTGTCACAGCAGCTGTTTCGCAATAAATACTGCTATGGGTTATTACATGAACTCTTTAATACTGTCTTCTTAAACACCTTCCTCCTTCCCTAGGTATTCACGACTGCCCCCTCCCTACCCTATATTTGGAGTGGGTGCTTTGGAGTGTTAGAAAACCATTGAAGATGCCTAGATGAGAGCTTACTTCCTATCTCTACAAATGTACTCCGTGTTAGTTTGTTTGGGGAGGGGGATTGTTGTTCATTTTTAGTGATGTCTCACTCTTTGTGACCCTATTTGGGGTTTTCTTGGCAAAGACACTAGAGTGGTTTGCCATTTCCTACTCCAGTCATTTTACAGATGAGGAAACTGAGGCAAATAGGGTTAAATGACTTGCCCAGGGTCACATAGCTACTAAGTGTCTGAGGCCACGTTTGAACTCAGGTCCTGAGCTCTATCCACTCACCACCTAGCTGTTACTTTGTATACTCTCCTTTTCCAAACATTTTGTTTATGGGAGGGCTGGGAAGAGTTGTCCAGAATAGTGATTTCTTCAGGTAGAAACTCCTTCCACTGACACTTGGGGCATGAGAGGTAGCTGTAGTCATATAGACGGCATGTGTCAGAAGCAAGACTTACATGCTGTTTTTTTCTGACTCTGAAGCCAGTTCTCTATCCACTGAGCCATCTGCCCTCCCATTTGTTCTCCACACAACTTAGTCTATTAACCGCATCAAGTTGTGTCAAATTCTATAATGTTTATTGGATAGAAGTAAAAGTTATTATTCTAGGATGGATTTTTAAAAATCAGGTGGTTCTAAATCAGTAAATAGGAAGACCCTTTTTTCTTTATTAAAAAGTGAATTCTTGTTTACTGTTACTTTAATGAATCTTCTTCACAACCCAACAGTAGACATAGGCTTAATTTTTAAAAGGCATAGTACATTTTAAAGCAGGGGGTAGATTTACTTTCTATCCACATCAGAAAAATTGAATTACTATTTGACTTACCAAAGTTAATTAAAATAGATATTTATGAAGTCATCTGGCAGGTTTAAAATTCAACATGTGAATTAATGGACTTAAAAGACTTTTTTTATGCCGTATTTAATGGTCAACTGGTACTGGAAACATCAGACATTTTAATTGTGCTGTTTAATGAAAACAAAAACAAGTCCCTTGTGTATTCTGGTTGTATCCTTTTCTTTTTTTATTGTATCCTTTTCTTTAACAACCTTTTTTCTTCAGCAATCATAATAAATCATTTTTAATAAAATACACTTAAATTTTTTAAAATTATGTTCAATTTGTGCATTTGGGGACATACAGATTTGTCTTAAGCAGATCAACCCAAGAAATGTAAAATATTGGCTTATATATCTAACAAAAACTCAGTCTTCATTTTCCTCTGTCTATTTATTCATTGACTAGAAAGAAACAGACATTTGCTTTATTCTTTCCAAATAAGCTACAGAAGAGCCTCTGCAAACACCATTAATCAGGTTTCCAATACATGGATTATTGTGACCAATTCATAAAATTCTCCATTATCTTAAACACTATATTATTTGAATTTATAATCCTTAGTTCATTCTATACCTTTGAGCTTTAAAGGGTCTTAAGTTAAAGCATTTAAAAAAATGTAATCTCTTTTTAAAATCATGGCTCCCTCCCTCCACCCTTAGGGCATGTGCCAAGGGACAAATCCATTAATATTTAGGTCAGTTTTCATTGATGAGACTTTAGAGCGGCTTGGTGTTGAGAACTTAGAAGACACTGCTCTTACCTACTGTTATTTTCCAACCCTTGGAAATGTTCTTTCTGTGGATACAGTCCATCCTTCATTGTGCTTGGCTTTCTAGAACACATAAGAATGACATCAGCAGCTATAGAGCAGACTGACTTTAGCTGGCATGAGAGTGGAATCTATTTGTACTTTGTTCACAGTGGGTGAATCTTTTACTTTTTTTGTGGAGGAAAGTATAAATAAGGCTTTGGGTTTCTTTGATGTAAAATGCAAAGGAAGCGTTCAATTATAAAAGAAAAACAAGCAAATCGAAGGTTTGTGGAGTGGCGTCTCTCTTTTACAAGGAGCCTAATGACAATTTCTGCTGTTTTAATGGAAACTTTGGAGAGTTTAGCTCAGCTACTCTTCTCTCCCACAAATGCGACTAAAAAAGAGACCTCTTTATCTTCTTTTATGTTAGGGACAGCCGACTTGGTCACCCTGCCTGTCCTGCCAAAATGGCGGGGGGTGTACATTAGCTTCAGCATTTCCTGAAAACTGTGTATTCATGCTCTGGATTAGTAGTGTTCCATAAATAAAAGTGAGTGGGCACAGGTTACATTTTACTTCCAACAGATGCTACAAAGTGGTTCAAAGCACAGTAGCTTCAAAAAACAGGATATCCTTGGACTGGGAAGTTAATTTGTCCCATGTGCTGTCTAGAATACCAAAAAATTAGTCACTCCAGCTGACTTACTGCCAATGTATGCTCTTTCTCTCCCATTCTCCCCTTATCCTCTATTCCTTTTTTCTGGCATATCCGGTTAGTGAGACATGAACTAAAAAACATGTGTGTGTGTATATATATATATATATATATACACACATATATACACACATGTATCTGTACGTATACACAGACATACACATATACATGTGCATACACGTATGTATATTATATATGTATGTGTATATATATATATATGTGTGTGTGTTGTTGCTGTTTGGTAGATTAGTTACATCTGACTCTTTGTGACCTCATTTGGAGTTTTCTTGGTAAAGATACTGGAGTGGTTTGCCTTTTCCTTTTCCAGCTCATTTTACAGATGAGGAAACTGAGACAAACAGGGTTAAGTGACTTGCCAAGGGTCACACAGCTAGTGTATGAGGTCACATTTGAACTCACATCCTCCTGACTCTGAAGCTGGCACTTTATCCACTGTACCACCTAGCATATATATCTATATATACATATATATCTCACATGTAAACACACATATGTGTATGTATGTGTGTATATGTGTGTGTATTTATGTATTTGATTGTGAAATGTGGTTATCCTCTGACATTACCATCACTCTGGGTGTAGGCCCTCATCACATGGCTGCTACAGTAGATTACTACAACAGCCTGCTGGTGGGTCTGACTTAAGTCTCTCCTCACTCCAATCCATCCTCCATTCAGCCAATAAAATGATTTTCCTAAGGTGCAGGGCCAACATGCTACCCTCCCCAATCAATGAACTTCATTGGATGCCGTTCTCCTCGAGGATCAAATACAAAATGCTCTATTTGGCATTCGAAGCCCTTCAGAACCACACCCCCTCCTACCTTTCCAGTCTTCTTCCACCTTTCTTCCTGCTGTACACTCTTCCATCCAGTGACACTGGCCTCTTGGCTTTTTACATACAAGATACTTCATCTCTCCACTGTGGTCATTTTCTCTAGCTATCTCCTATGCCTAGAATGCTCTACATCCTCAACTCCATCTATTGACTTCCCTGGATTTCTTTAAGATCCGACTAAAATCCTATCTTTTACAGAAAGTCTCAATCCCTCTTAATCTAGTGCCTTCCTAATTTTAACTCATTCCTATTTATCCTGTGTATAGCTTGCTTTGTACTTATTTGTTTGTATGTTGTCTCCTTCATTACATTGTAAGCTCCTTGAGAGCAGGGACTGTCTTTGGCCTCTTTTTCTATCCCTAGTGCTTAGCATAGTCCCTGGCACAGTGTAGGTGCTTTAAAATGGTTATTGACTGACTGATTGATTCGATATGGATTCAATAATTCATTCACTTTAAATATCTTTTTTATAGGAGACCAGATCTGTTACCCCATTGGTTCAGGAAACTTCTGATAAGAAATTTCCCTCTACTGATGTAGACCAGCACCTGGTCTGCAACTTCTTAAAAAAGTTGTCTGGAACACCGACTGAGTCATTAAGCGACTTTCACAGAGTCACACAAAGAGTATGTTTCAGAAGCAAGATTTGAACACGGGTCTTCCCAACTCTGCTAATTCATACTTGTCTCTCTTCTTTTTCAGACTTGTTTTTAATACTTCAAAGGATCTGTGATTCCGTTAATTCAGATACTCTGTCCAACAATAACAATGACTTTATGATTTTGTAAGGGTCCTCGTGAGCCACCCCTTCTCCCAAAATGGATCCTGCGGTGCCCATCCTTCTTGTGTTACACCTCTCCAAGGCTCGTTCTTTGATAAAAGCTATTGTAGCCCATTGTCTGACCCACACTCAAAGCCTTTGGCAAAAGTTGCCAGAGCTTAAGTCACTTATTGATTGGGCTTTGAAACTCCCAGGTTGTCTCCATGCCATGATGAGGTATTAGAATGGCATTTTTCACATATATGTATATAAATACATATATTTGCATGTATTTATTCATTCAAAAATCACTTACCATGTTTGTGACACAGTGATAGGTGCTGGGGGGGATTTAAAGATAAATTAGACTTGGTCACGCTCTTAAAGTACATGACAATTCAGTATTGGCATATATGACAAATATACAGATTAAAAAAGAAAATTAATAAAAATGGGATGATTCACAAGAGGATCACTCTGTCCAGGTTCTTAAGTAAAGGGAGTAGAAACTTACTTCTATTTACTATCTCTACTTAAGAAAATGGATTGTTTTTGGAAACTTGTAGCTTGCATTTTTGATCATTGGGAGTTTTCTCTTACGTGTAAAGAAAGAAGGATGTTGAAACGGCTGATGAGAACAATGATAGTAAAGGAGGGAGAGAATTGTTCATTCTCTATGATGGAATACAACAATGATTTTTTGGAGGATATGAAATATTGTATAATTTGAACATTTGAATGGGGGTCCTTGCTGGAGGCAAGCATAAAGATGTTGGCTTATGCTACCAAATTTGATACTTTTTCATAGTCATAAGCTCAGCAGGATCTTGTTTTCTATATCTTTCATTCTATTGAGTGATGACAAAGATGTGATCTAATGTGGAATATTGCTTACAAAAGCCTATCTATTCTGTTCTAATGCCCTCATCAAGGGTGCCCTCAATTTTTTTTTGCTTTTTTTTTTTTAAAGATACTGGAGTAGTTTGCCATTTCTTTCTCCTGCTCATTTTATAGATGAGGAAACTGAGGCAGACAGGGTGAAGTGACTTGCCCAGGGTCACATAGTCAGTAAGTATCTGAGGCCAGATTTGAACTCAGGAAGATGAGTCTTCCTGACTCCAGGCCCGACTTTCTATCCACTGAGCCACCTAGCTGCCCAAGGGTGCCCTTGATTTACAGGTAGATTATTCTCATGAAGGTATTCATCATCGTCACAGAAGAGATCCAGTGAGAATCCAAGTTGGAGAAGAATTGCCAATAGGTCTTAAAGCCTTCTAAATAACTGTAGTTTGTGGATGATACTGTGGTCATTGCATCAAGCCCCAGAATATTGCAGAGCCTTCTAATGAGCTCCATAATAACTCAGGAGTTTGGCCTACTGAGGAAAAACACAGGAAAAGCTAAGTGCTTGTTGTACAAACGATATTGATATGTTATTAGCTAAATAATCTATAGAGTTTATCCAGCAGTACATGTCTTGAACAAATACTGCAAATGGCCAATGAGATAGAACCAGATGTGAACAGAAGATTGGAGGTTTAATGGATTCCCTTTAGGAAATTTCAAAGCTCTTTTAATCATCCTCAACCTTCTCCCTGAATCTAAGGCCAATCTTTTTTTTAATATCAATATTATTCTGGTGGTATCACGTGGCTGAAAGCTGTGTGAGACATTAAATACTACAGCCTCCGAAGAAATGAAGATAAGGATTACCCAAAGGGCAAAGGATGTATTGCACAGGATGTGACACGTTACACACAAAGAATTATGAAGAAGTTGTATGATGGGTGCCATTCAAGAAATGGGCTGCCTCGAAAGGTGGCAGGTTCCCATTCACTCCGTCCCCCCAACTTGGAAGTCCTCAAGCAGAATCTGAATGACCATTTGTTGGGTATGTTTTAATGGGGATTCTTTTTGTATGTTGATTTGACTGTAGTCATTGGGGTCCCTTCTAATCTCAAATTCTGTGTTTCTGTGATATGGAAGTGAAAAAGAATGGCAAGGCATGTGGAGAAAGTGAGGGGTAACTGATAGATAGCTCTAAATGCCCATAATGTCTGAAGGGACTGAGGAAGGTCCAGATCACATTGGGTGGATCCCCATAAAGAACTTCTGGAAGGCTTTGGGCAAGAGTTGCATGGCCCGGTCACTCACAAGGAGGCTGTGATCTGCATCATTGGAAGGAATACTTGCATGTATGAGGTCACAGATCCTCTGGAGTATTGGAGTATGGAAAGTAAGTAGACTTTACCTTAGTAGCATTTCCTCTGGGATCACTTTCCCACCTCCCACTCACACTGGCAGACTGGCTCTGCAGAACACAACTAACCATTTCCCTCAGGATCCTAGGAATAACTGAGAAATTGGGTAGCTGGTTTCTTAATACTATTGCTCATGAGCTCCCATCAGTGTGTTCCCCATTCATTATCAGTGGATATCAGTTAGCTAGCCAGAGTTAATTAGCTTTAGAAATAGGTATTTACAAAGGTAGTAAGAATAGCTAGCATTAGAACATTCACTCATAAGCTGGGGATATACTCTCCTTGTTGGAGTCCAGGGGAAAGTGGATTCAAGCTTAGAGAGAATATTTGGCAAAGGGTTAATTCCCAACTCTTGATAAGATGTAACACATTTTCTTCTTTTTTGGTGTCTTCATGAAGTTCCCCTAAGATGATTATAGTTCTTTTATGGACCCTGATCTGAGGGTTCCCATCCCAACTCAGCCACTCACTACCTGTGAGACCTTGGTAAGTCACTTCATATCTCCAGTCCTCAGTTTCCTCATATGTAAAATGAAGGAGGTTGGACTAGATAACCTCAGGTCATCTCAGAACCCTTCTGGTTCTAAATCTATGGTCTTTTGATCCCATTATCTTATAAAACATGCCCTTACATGAGGCAGTGGAGAAGTGGAAATGATAGTACTCTTACTTTCATCATTAGAACCATAAGTGAGAAGTCTTGGCCAAACCACATTTGTCTATGTGATTGAAAAACTCTTCCTTTTATTATTTCCTATGTTCCTACATCATTGTGTCACATTTGAACAAGATAATGAAGACTACAGTCAACATAATTACCTTATAATCTCCTTGAATAGCTTTTTAAATCTTAAATGAGCAAAATTTGACTTAGTTTCACCTACATTTATCAGCATCATCTTTTTTTCTTCACCTTAGTTAAGAACACAGAATTTGTACACAGAAACCACATGTGATAGGATATTGTAATTAAAAGTGTCCTTAGAGGCCATGTATTCCAACTTTTACCTGAACAATCATTTCCTCTCCACTATTCCACGCAAGTGGTCAGTTAGCCACTGCTTAAAGACCTCCAATAAGAAGGAACCCACTGCCCGAGCTATCAATGATTACGCTTTGGAGATAGCTCTTCAACCATTTCCAAATCCAAATCCTTTTTGTTGAGTTCACATCTCTGCTTTTCCCATAAGAATAACATGAGATACTTTCTCAAGACTCTGCTAAAAATCTATGCAAATTAAATCAATAGCATTCTCTGATTTACCAATGTAGTAATTCTATACAAAAAAGTGAGTAAGGTTAACATGGAATAACCTCTTCCTGATGAAGTCATATTGGCTTTTCATGATCATTACTTTCCTTTTTGACTTGTTCGCTAATGATCCCATTAATATGTTTTAGAATTTTGTCAAAAATCAAAGTCAAACTCACTGGCCTGTGGTTTTTAGACTATTCTCATACTCCTTTGGCTTTTGGAAATCAGGACATTTGTCGTTACCCAATCATGTGATGTCTCTCCTGTTCTCCATGATCATTCTTTCTTTTTTTTTTTTAGGCAGTTGGGGTTAAGTGACTTGCCCAGGGTCACACAGCTAGTAAGTGTCAAGTGTTTGGTGTGAGACCGGATTTGAACTCATTTACTCCTGACTTCAGGGCCGGTCGCTATCCACTGCACCACCTACCTTCACCCTCCATGATCTTTCAAAACTTAATAACAGTGGCTTAGCAGGAACATCTGCTAATTATTTTTCAATTCTAGGATATAGTTTATCTGGGCCTGAAAATTTGAACAGGGTGATATGACCTGGCCTCAAATATGGGCCTTGTTACTTATGAGAGCAATGCGTAAGAGTACTCCAGGATGTACTGGCACCATCTCAAACTGGCTCAGTAGTGAATTGTTAAATTTTAACATGAGAAATGACATTTTGGAAATCAGAAAACACTACAAATCAGGACTTGGTTTATTGTTTTGTTCATTTCCAGACTTAAGAAAGTGATGGAGAAAATGTTAGTACTGAAATCAAGCTTAAAAGTGTGTCACAGGTAGATTTTTTCGGAGAGATTGACTAGCACACCCCTGGGCCTCCTGGATAGAATGCTGTAGCTAGAGTCTGAAGAGGCCTGGGGTCGAAATCTGTCTCTGACATTATTGGTTGTTGGACCATGAGCAAGTCACTTAAGCTCTCTGAATCTTAGTTTCTCATCTGTAAAGTGGGGATATTAATAGCTATAGCACCTTACTTCATAGGGTGGTTGTTCATTCAGGCTTAACATAGCAGCATAGTGTTTGATGGAAAGAATGAGTGCTTTCAGATGTCCCATGATGAGGAGTGGCTTTCATTCTTTTAATTAATCAGGGGTAGTAAGTCCAAATCAAAGATTAGGATTATAGGATATAGGGGAAACTAGGCAGTACAGTGAATAGAACATTGGGCCTGGAGTCAGGAAGGCCTGAGTCCAAATGCAGCCTTAGATAAGTGTATGACTTTGGGAAAGTCACTTAACCTCTGACTGCCTCAGTTTCCTCATTTGCAAAGTGGGGGTAATGATAGGACTACCTTGAAGGTTTGTTGTAAATATCAAATGAGATAATAATTGTAAAGTGCACAGTGACTGGCACATAGTAAGCCCTATACAAATGTTAGCTGTTTTTCTTCTTTTGACTAGTTAGTGCTAGTGAATCTAAAACAAAGATTAGGATTTTAAGATATAAAGGCAGCTAGGTAGGTACAATGGATAAAGCACTGGGCCAGGAGTCAGGAAGACCAGAATTCAAATCTGGGATTGTCACTTAGCCTCTATTTGCCTCAATTTCCTCATCTGTGAAATGGGTATAGAAATAGCACCTACTTCCCAGGGTTGTTGTGAGGATCAAATGAGATTATTGTAAAGCATTTAGTATAGTGTCTAGAACATAGTAAGTGCTATATAAATGTTTATTATTAGTTGTCAGAGATGAAAGGGACCTCACAAATAATC